TACCCCCCCCCCCCCCCGCCACTGCCTGTTCTGCCAACATTTTCTATAGATAGGAAGTGAGGATAAATCTCTAACTGCAACACACAGAAGGTAGGTAAGGGGAAGACAAAAACCCATTAGTTTTGTTTTTTTGCTGTCTTAGTTCCTGTTGCAGATCCGCAAAAGCATAGTCAGCAGAACAGGCAGTGAGGAGGAATCGCTAATTGAATCCCTGATTGCCATAAAACTTGACAGGGGTCCTATCCCTTTCCTTCCACCCAAAGGCAAGTAAAAAGAAGATTTGCACGGACAATCACCTAGCAGTGTAATGGCCGAGCTGCAGCCTCACACCGAACATCTGGTTATCCTGCTAGACAGTTGGAAGTTTGCGGCTCTTAGCTTTTTGAAGAATGGGGACAGCTACTCCTCTTCAGGTTACTAGGACAGGTGTACGGTTACATTACTACACCGTGTAGATATATGGTGTAAACAAGGCACATAAAGAACAATTGTTTTCTATGCTCCCTTGCGTTATGCCTGCACTGATCAATGTACCCGGTGTAAATGAATCCCAAGTAAATAACCATTAAAAATCTGCCTCTGTGTCAAAGATTAATACAGTGTAAATTTATATTCTTAGCCATAAAAATGGTGTCCAGCATCTGGCCATCTGACCAATGCCTCAGCATGGGTGGCATCATGTCCACAAATGGGGAGGATTTTAGGAACGTGAAGTCATGATGCCCAATGGCTAACTGCCTGAGAAATACATTATTGGTCCTCCAAGATTCTCTAGCAAAATAATCCTTTATCTGTTGTATAAATTTGTCTTATTCATATAACTTTGCCTTTAGAACATCCCTTGTGCTGTGCAAACACGCAGTTTTACTGCACGTCAGCCCAATCAATAGGCCACACACGCCACAAAGTAACTCATGCAGCACTTTCATCTGTGAGCGTGCCGCATTTTACCCGCCACATTGGGGTGAACATACATGAAAGCGTGCACTTCAGCTCGTGTTCACTGGGTTTAATGCCACTCGCTCTATGTGGCCAAAACAGAGAAGAGCTGGTTAACTCTCAATAAGGCTGTGGGACATTAAATCAAAGACAAACCTGTATATTGCCCTCCCTCTCCGGCATGGAGCCAAAGTGATGCAGGATTTGGCTGCGGAACCTGTATCTCAGATTCTGGAACCAGTGGCAGGCCTGAGTGTAGACAGCATCATGAAGCTCCTGGAGTTGCTGGAGTTCTTCCGCACCAACCTGAATAATTATAGATTAACATTAAACCGATTACTGCCAAGCCCACTGCTACTACAGTTCCCATTTATGTGTGCATACGGAATATGAAAATACTCAAACTGAACTGAAATCATTCAAGGCATTATCTAAGCACCTCAGCTCACCATGCCCTCTTAGCAGTTACTCAACATCCCCCTAATTACAAATGCAAACCCAGCAGGAGCTCTGCGAGGGGGGTGGGGGGTGGGGGAAAGAGTACACACAGCTGCGGAGAACAGACTTGAACAACTTTACTGCTTCTGGGGGTGTATTTAGATGATAAATTGCTCCATGGTTCCTGCAACTCCAGAGGTCAGGTAGGATTTGCTTCTTTGGGTAAAAAAAACAAAAACACCCTCTTCTCACTTATTCACCACTTTTAGAATAGAAAATTACTTTCTGAAGCTGTTTTATGCTACCAATATTCCACCATCCATCCCTCAGGTAGCAATGTGCACCCCCAAAGGAGGACCCCCCTCCTCTGCAGCAAAAAAAAAAATTAAAGGACTTGGGGACCTGGTGTGTCTTTTTTTTTAAAATGCCAACTTAGACAGGGAGGAGGAAAGGGGTGTTATGATTTAAGCTCATTTACAGCTTTTTAAAAGGAGAACTACTGAGAGTAAAATACTCATCCCAATAGCATGAGCCAGCATGCGACACTACAAGTGTCACGACAGCTTTATAGCTTGAGAACTGAGCAATTGATCTCTGCTGGTCAGTCACCGCTCTCTGCAGGGTTTCCCCCCCCCTCCCTTCTCAGTCTCTCTTTGGAGGGACAGACAGGAGAGGGCGGGCACAGCTGGCTCTACAGAGGCAGATCCAGCTGTCAGGCAATGGGGTGGATTCCAACAATATTGTTGGGATCTTTCCCAGCTGCAGCACGGCCCTGCACTGTCAGCATAAAGAGCGTAGTAGCCTCCTATATGCTGACTTTGGGTCACAGGAGTACATTAGTAAATGTATTCCTGGGACCCAAAAGAGAACTAAAGCAGAAAAAATAAAAAAGGGGCTTTGGCTATAGTTCTCATAAGAATGTGTAAATAGTTTAATGTCCCTTGTCGAGTAACAGGTTCCCTAACACTCTTTTATAGCAAGTTCAAAAAAAGGTTTTTTCTCCGATACATGTAATGTTAACCGAAAGCCTGCATGTCCATAGCCTGGCCACAGGTTTAAACACTTCCAGTAGAGCTTACCATCTTATCTTTATACTACAGGTACAGTTCCCCCTTCAGAAGCAACACTCAGTTTATTACAGGACTGTGCCGAGTTGAACTTCACATCAGCAGTTTAATGATGGAGTTGAAATTTTCACCGTCTGCTGCATATGCACAGCAGTCAACATCTCTCAAAGCACAGTCTGTAAAAAGCAGGGTTCTTGTACATCAAAGTAAGCCTAGCAGCTCACCGGCCTGTGGCAGTCTGAGAGCCAGTTAGTGGCCATGTTAAAATAGCTTGTCTGGGGTTCCCGGGCATCAAAACTGAATGTAAGAATTATCACTGCGTTTATGGTGCAGTAGCGGTTTATAAGTACCTGAATGTCGATTAGGTATTCAATGTCCGCAGTGCAATAACCATCCTTCATTCCTCTTTTTATAACCCGAAATCTCTTTCCACCAATAGTATCAACCACGGACCGTCCATCAGGCAAGAAATGGACATTGCGGATCTGCAGCATGCAACCATAGTCTGCAAAACTAAACAGAGAAGACAATAGTTCAGAAAATGCATGGGAGAATTCAGTGGTTTAAAGATGCTTTGATCATTTCAGATTGACAACTAGCAATTCAATACCAGATACATTCAATACAGAAATTAAGAAATTCTGCTAATTTTTATCAAAACAGACTGGCAGAACATGAACTAGAACTACAGCCACAAACTGGCACACGAGGGGGATGATGCAAACTCTGCCAGTTGTTAAAAACAGTTGACTGCTAGTTATCTGACTACAGCTAAAGCTATACATTATAGGAATGGATTGACATGATTAAAACAAAAAAGGAAGAAGAAGGTTTGGAATATGTTTGGCCAATTGTTAAAAAAAAGGAGAACTATGAGGAGAGTGAAAATCACTCCGCCTCATAGTTTGAGCCGATGTGTGTCATTGAAACTGTCACACGTCGGCTCAATAGATCGGGAAGTGAGCGAACACAAACCGCCGCTCGCTTCTAGATCCTCTCCCTGCAGAGAATGGTGACTGTCTGTCACGGCTCCCCACAGGGATTCCCCCTCTCCGATCCTCCAGCGCTGACTGGAGGAACGGACGGGGAAGGGGGCGGGTACAGCTGGCTCTACCTCTAGATAGGCAGAGCCAGCTGTCACTCACGTAGCTGGGTGGATCGACAGTAATGTCGGGATCTGTCCCGGCTGCGACGGTCTCAGTATACCGTGAGCTGCAGCTCACAATATACTGAGCTTTGGGTCATGGGAGGAGATTAGTATATGTCCTCCCGTGACCCTTAAGAGAACTATGGGGAAAACGCTTACCCCATAATTCTCTTTTAAAGAAATGGACAGTAACATGGAGATTCAAGCATCCCTTACAACAAATTAGTACAAAAGCACTTGAGGAAAAAAAAAAAAGAAGTTGATAATAGTTGAAGACAAGAATACAAGTCACTTACCCTTTTTCTGAATCACTGATGCACATTCCAAATTGCCTTGTACCAATTTCCATACACCTTCGAATCATCAGCCGATAACGGGGCTCGAAAACATGCAGTGGGCAAGGCACAGTAGGATATGCCATGGTGCATACAAACATAGGCACATTTAGAGTTAAACTAAATGGAGAAAGGAAAATGGGATTTTAATGTTAAAACTGCTCAATAACAACAGGTCAAGAGAATATGCACCGATATAATGAACAGGTCTAAAATATGGGGTTCCTCGTTCTCTAGTGACAACATATAAAAGTACTTTTAACTTTGATAAAACACCACCAAACAATTCAAATGAATCCCCAATCCAGGGATGACGTTGTCAATGGGAACAGGCAACCCCCCCCAGCTGTTCTCAGGGGGGGGGGGGATGCAACCGTTTAGAAAACCTGCTGAAATGACTAACCCTACAAAAAAATACAGGGCATGTGGTGCTTGCTTTACCCTATTTTTATCTTCCCCTCAGTATAAGTACCACCGCAAGGTCCTCACCGAGTTAAAAATATTCAAGATTCAAAAAGTCAATATTTATTGAATTTTTGGAAAGGGCTGATATTGGTAGAGGGCAACCAGACACCCCCATACGTCTATGGCCTCCTACGATATAGTCCCAGAATGCAATACATATGTACAAACAGCACATGGTTTATAATATAATATAAATATATTCACTTTGATAATTCAAGTGCTTCCTCTTCATGAATTTTTTTCCTCTCGGACAGCTGTTCAGGAAGATACTGCTTGATTAATCCCTCCAGTAGGTAGGTTACATTGTAG